CCTCATCCTAAGCTTCCGCCTCCCCAACCCCTTCCCCGCCACCGCCCTTCACTCCCCTCCCTTTCATCTATCCCCCCTTCCACTGAAAACTCCCCTTGCTCCATTGTCAGGGAGCGGCGAAACGTGCGGTGGAGATCATGTACTTCGAGACGCCCGACGTCGACCTTGAGTATTGGACGCCGCGGGACACAAACATCACTGCACTTTGCACCGCTATCGGAATCACCGACGCCGACTATGTGGCGAAAGTGCGGCTGGTCATGGAGAACGAGAGAATGCGCCCGTCCCACCTCCGAAAACAGCAGCAGGATGCCCGCAACAAGGTCCACACAATGGGCCGTGTGATGCTGTACGAGAGCTTCAACATCCGCATTGCTCGACCGGATCGCGGGAGGGAAGTGGTCGGAACCCTCTCTCCAGCAGCATTTTGTGCCGAACATCGAGCTGGTAAGACGAAGCCCCACCCACGCCTTCTTTCTTAACCCCCACACCAGGCTCACCCCCTTTTTTGCCAATGCAGTGCACCTGCCATCGATGCGGGACCATACAGACCCGTGTGCCTCGTTCTCACGAAGCCCTCACTCCCTTGTGCCCCCCCCTTCCCTTTCCAGCAGGCACACATGCTGGCCAGGTGCAGCGCACCTGCCATATCTGTGGGTTTTAAAGTGCGGGCCGTGTGCCTCGGTCTAACCAGCCGCTCCGTCCCTTGTGTCCCCACCTTCCCCACCCAGCAGGCGCACCTGAGGGCAAAAACCCCCTGCAGTTGCCATTTTAGCGGGTTTCACATTGTGGGCCATGTGCCTCATTCTAACCAGCAGCACCCTCCCTTGTGTCCCCACCTTCCCCACCCTGCAGGCGCACCTGAGGGCAAACACCCATGCACCTGCCCTCCCTGTGGGTTCCAAAGTGTGGGCCATGTGCCTCGTTTATAACCAGCCGCACCCTACCTTGTGTCCCCACCTTTCCGACCCAGCATGTGCACCTGCAGTCAAAGTGTAGGGCACCTGCACTCCCTGTGGGCTTCAAAGTGTGGGCCGTGTGGCTCGTTCTAACCAGCATCTCCCTCACTTGTGCCCCCACCTTCCCATTCCAGCAGGCGCAACAGAGGGCAGACGCTGGAGGGAACCTTGCGTGATTACAACCAGCCCCTCCATCCCTTGTGCCCCCACCTTCCCATTCCAGCAGGCACACCTGAACTAAACCCTACTGTAGTGCACCTGTCACCACATGTGTGTTTCACTGCTAAACCCTAGTGCCTCCTATTAACCCTGCCCCTTCAACCCACCCTACTGTAGTGCATCTAGCTTGTCCACTTCCAGCAGGCACACGTTTAACGCCACTGCAGTGCCAGCCATCTCTGCGTGTTTATGCAGCGCCTCTCACTGTCATTTCTCCGCTCAGAACACCTGCCCCCACCCACTCAATATATAGCATCCACCAACGCGTCTTTTCTCCCCCCATTATCACCCCCACTGTTGAGTAGATGCGAATTCATGGGGCTTGCTGAAGTGGCACTTCAATGACGATGGGCTGCCCTTCTCAACGGACTTCTTCACAGCTGCAGTATTCCAATCGTTTCAGAGGCCGGGGCACTCCTTTGTGGTGCTCCGATTCAAGCAACTTGCTTTTTTTCTGCTAGGGGTATGTTGAGCCATTGGGTGGTTTTGTTAACACGGTGTTTTGTCTAGTTGCAGTGTCGCGATGCTGGTTTTTGACAAACGTTAAACACACCCCAACCCATTGCTCGTTGCAGGTCGAATACAAGTTGATCAATGGTGAAGAAATGCCGCGAAGCCCGGTTCACAATCGAAACGCATTGACGATTCAACATTCGAAAGTCCACAATGCCGTCGCGTTCGCCGCTCAGAATAGGACCGCAGCTACGGGCCCGTGGTGGGAGGCTGATAAGGCTGCATGGAAATTCCATGCAACCACCGAGAGGGTGTTTATCTCATGCGCAGGGTTGCCTGGGTTGCAAGGTCCCTAAGCCTCACCTTTTGAGCAAGCATATGATGTCGTGTTTGCAGCTGTGTTTGCGTCGTATTCTGTGTCGTAGTAATTTGTTCAATAACCCTGTCAATTAGTAATTGCAATAAATAATCGTACTATTAATGCAGGATTAAATAATATAATATGCAAATACAGAACCAGAAAACAAAAACTGTTCTGTACACATACGTTATCTCGCTAAATACAAGTTACCCTATCAACAATATCGTAACTGTAACACACAATTTCGCGAGACAATAATATAGCGACACTTGGGGACGCACTAGATGCACACGTCAGCAGACCCCAAGAAAATGATTGCGACGTGTTGCACAGGCGTGCATTTGCCTTGTGCTTCATGCTGAAACGTGTAACCAACAGTTCGGTCTTATTGTCTGACATGTTCGGTAGATGCTTGACAGGTGTCGTAGACTTGAACAATGATGAACAAGACGAACTCTCTGACAGTGTTTGGCGCGAGATGCGCTCATTCGACGCAACCCAGTGCACACATGACTTCCCAGCCAGTCAAAAAGTCACAGCTAAGGGAACGCGATGTTACTCAGCTTTTCGTGTTCAAATGGGTGTAAGCCGCTTCAGTCGCAAAAGGTGAGTTACTGCGTTTCGTGTGCCATCGTGGGGACTTCGCTGCACACAAGTTCATTCCTGCCACAAAGTAACTCTCCAGTATGTTGACGTTCGGAGAAACCCAACCTCGCATCGCCACTCTGCAGTAGGTTCGCTAGGCGTTGTTCGGGAGAACCAGAGGAAGAGGAGTACATGATCCAGAGGATGAATAGTACTAGGCTCGGGGGCCCAAAAATCGCTTGCGACCCCCTTGCGACCACTTTCGTGACCTAACCTCGCGGTTTGGAAATATCAACCTCAACTTCTCCTCTGCAGCGGCTCGAGATACCGAGCCGCTGCCCCAACAGTGGGTTGACTGCACAGTAATCACAGGCAATTCTTTCCTCACTTTCTCCTCGCCATGCTCTAGCGAGGAGAAAGTGAGCCTCAGTCCTCAACGAAATTTGTTGGGCATCTCGGATTCCGCTTCAATATTACCCAGGGCATAATTTTACGACCGAAATTGTACCAACGTGTACAATTAACGAGACACAATCCACACTCTCTCACTCCACGGCTAGGTCGCCAGCTCAGCGGCCCGATGCTTCCTCACGACTGAGAATGTAGCCGCAAACTACGGTTAGCCTCAGCGTCTAGGCCTAGCTGCTTGCAGACCAACGGGTGGATAGGAGACGGTATAAACATATTGGTAGTCACGATTTCTAACGGATCAAAGGGGGGAGCTCTATGCCTGTCCATAGCTTGGATTAGGGTTTCGTGCTATGGGATCAAGAGATGACTAGTCGAGAGAGCCCGAACACAATTCCAGTTGTGTTGTTGTATTGAAACTGGTTTTTTTTTCGTGTTGCAAGGGGTGCTTCGGTCTCGAAAATACGTTTTGGGTGGACGAGGAAATGGGAAGGGGAGAGTTCCGATCAGATGGTAGATGCGATTTGGCATCTTGACCTCCGGCGTGCGGTGGTTGTCGTTTTTGCTCGAATTGGGGCGTTGACTATGCACACCCCTGTCATTTTCTCCAGCTGGCGAATCTGATTGTACAGCTGTCGACACTGTACAATTTGTCAAGTGGTGTGATGTCGTTTTTCTTATTCAGGCTCGGTGCAGAGCAGCATCCTCTTCCTCTGTTTCGGCGCTCCCGAACACCGCCAGAAAGTTGTTTCCTGGACAACAACCGAGAAGTAACCAAAAAGTAGCTTCACGGTAGGTTTCGATCAGCCCCATTTTTGGGATGCTCACACCTTGCTCTCGTGCTCTCACCTCGCCTTCCTCCACGCCCTACTCTCGTCCCGTGCTTTCATCACATGTGTCTTCCCTCCTTTTTTTGATTTTTTACTTTTGCGCTTGCGGCTGCAACGAAGAGCCATCGATTATTGCTCACCCATCCATAAGTGCTGCATTCGTGCAGCCACGTGGCGAGGAGCAGCGAAGCGAATATTTTTGTTTAGCCATGCCGCAGCGTGCGCCCCTTTGTTCACAGGATCTGTGCGATAAAACCTGAAGCTTCCCTTTCAGTTTTTTTTGCTTGCTTCCATGCGGTAAAGGCGAGGCGAACACGTCTCAAGAATCGAGAATGGCCGCAACGACGCGGATGTCTTTCAATTCCCACCGCTTGATGAGTTTTTGCACCTTGGGCCGTTTTTATATCCGGCACGGCTGCTATCGTCTTCATTACTTCCCATCACTCCTATTTGTTCCAAAGCTCTCAGAGCTGTCGACAAGGTTTGTCGCGCGCTGGTCTCCTAATCTTCTCGCTGCTCTCACTTGGCGGTTGTGGCGAAGGCCAAGTCTGGGTGGTGAGTGCTGCCCACCCCACCACCCACCACTAACTGCTCAAGTTGTTCCCGCATTTCTTTTTCTTCCCCATTGTCTTCTATCCCCCTTCCATTTTTTCACTCACCTCGCTCGCTCGTGCCTTCGCTTCGTCCAGGTGTCAAGCTGAGGTGAAATCTCCTTGCGCTGTCATCTTCATACCTTTAGTACACATCGAGTCCAAGAAACCAACTTCAGACACGACACTCTGTGAGTCACCCTGTTACATAATATGCTCATACCATTCAACACGTTATTTGTGCTTCTCCTTACAGATTCTTTGAGATATATTTCCACTTCATGTGGCTGTACATCGTACTTGGTACCTTGGTTTCTACTGCTTGCATATTGCTTCCTACCTTAGTGATCTGCATATTCGGTTCTCAAATTGTAGCAAGTGATCAGACTCTGATTTGACGCTCATTTCATCATCTGATCCTTGGTTGCCAGTATGAGCAGCATCTCATCGCTAATGCGTATTGCACTCCCGCTGCCACTGCCCATGGCCCCCCATTACTTCTCGTGCTGTTGCAGTGCCGTTTCAAACTGCCTGCGCATACGGAACCCAATTCATTTTTGCTGGTCTTGAAACTCAATTTATTCCTTCACTCTTTATGCAGGGGTCTCAACATGTATGTTGCAACATACATAGTAGTGAATTCGAACTTTGTAGTTGCCACCGCTTTATTGGTGGTCGTGGCGGTGTATGTATGGAAGGAGTTTAGAGACAAGGGAGACAGAGATCAGCAAGGGGTTGGCGTGTCTGGTGGAGAGCATTCGCTCTGCCCCTGTTGCTGCGCCCTGCGGTTGGACAGGGAGTAGGGAAGGAGCAGGAGGGGCAGAAGAGTGTGGGGAAGGGGCAGGAGGCGCAGCAGAGTGTGGGGAAGGAGCAGGAGGGGCATAAGAGTGTGGGGAAGGAGCAGGAGGGCCAGAAGAGTGTGGGGAAGGAGCAGGAAGGGCAGAAGAGTGTGGGGAAGGAGCAGGAGGGGCAGCAGAGTGTGGGGAAGGAGCAGGAGGGGCAGCAGAGTGTGGGGAAGGAGCAGGAGGGGCAGAAGAGAGTGGGGAAGGAGCAGGAGGGGCAGAAGAGTGTGGGAAAGGAGCAGGAGGGGCAGCAGAGTGTGGGGAAGGAGCAGGAGGGGCAGCAGAGTGTGGGGAAGGAGCAAGAGGGGCATTAGGGAGTAGGGAAGGAGCAGGAGGTGCAGGGGCAGGAGAAGCAACACGACCTGGAGTTGTAGCAAGCACGTGGTGAAGGGGCTGGCCGTATGGGAGCAACTGCAGCAATTGTGTACCTGGTGGAGAGCAGAGGGAGGTGAGAAGGGAGATGGAACGAGAGGAACATAGGCAATGACAGGAAATTCAGAAGTTTTCATTGAAATCTAGTATACAAGAGTTCACCATGTTGCATTCTGGATGTAGCTTCTTGTGATCCATGAAATGAGAACCTGAATGTGGGTACTCTCCCCACTGGAATATAAATGTGTTGTGGTTTCTATTTTGGAATGTAGAGTACTTGCACGATTCGTTATATTCCACCTTGATTCTGACGAGGCGCGGCCTGACCCGCCCCGTTTCCACGCCCATTGTGGTCAGCATCTCGCCGTCAAGCACATCACTGTCAAATTATGGTACTGAAGAGCGTGGTTCGTTTCCATCACCCAAACGCACCACCCGAAACCGCGATTTTCTACTCGTTCCTGCTTTTGGCAGTCGCATCCATCACACCTTGCAACCAAATCAGGGCGTGGAGCATGAGGTTGTGAAACCCCTGAACATCGGTACTGGTAACCACCTTCGTCAACTGCTGATTTGCCTCTTGCGAAAGTGCATTACATGTTACAGCCCCTCGCACTCAAATAACCCCATCATAGAGCTCTGCATACGGCTTAGTAGACAGCAACCGTACTGAAACACGACATATCCTACTTAAACTCTCCTTAACGTTCGTAACCTTCATCTGAGCCTCATTTTGCCCGGTCTTCACGAATTCCTCTGCTCTCCTGATCCCACTAACGTCCTTGCTTCAGTTCAATATCAGGGTCCTGTAGTCTGCTTTCTCGTTCCAGTCCCGCTGATCCGGAACGTCACATCAAGCCAGCGGATCGAAACAAAAGCAGGAGACTGAAGGAGACGCGAGTCTGGCTCATTGTTCTGTGAGCCCTTGTAGAATCTGCCTAAGTGGCGCGCCGTTGCGATCTTATCGTAGTTGCTAAAGCAATTTCTTACATACTTTCAAGCGGCATTGCGGACGGTTCCTTCGTCTCTACCTCCCGATTTCGCGGACCGTACGGTGCAGTTAAGCTTCGTGTACTTCCATCGCTTCGCAGAGCAAACGACCTGCGTCAAGCAAATATCCAAATCTGCAGACCGCACGGTTCATCGGACCCGTCACCATGTTCTCGTGGATCGCGTCGAAACCGGCGGCGAAGGAGGAACCGCCCATTCCCAAGAGCTTCGACCCGCTCAAGGGGCTGGGCGGAGCCGTCGCATTTTACAAGGATGTCGATTCTCAGGTTAGTTGGTCCTTATGAGCTATTAATATCGTATCGATTCGCAGCTGGCCGTCGCTTCCTCTCGCCGCTCCCAAGAGCTTCGGCCCGCTCAAGGGACTGGGCGGAGCAGTGGCATACTACAAGGATGCCAATTCTCAGGTTAGTTGGTTCTAAGGAGTTGCGAATTCGTATCAACTTGCAGGTTAGTGTCTCGTTGGCCGTCAGTTCCGCTCGTTTCTCCCAAGAGCTTCGACCCGCTCAAGGGTTTGGGTGGAGCAGTCGCGTTCTACAAGAAATCCGGCTCGCAGGTCAGCCGGTCCTTACGAGCTATTAAGATTGTATCGATTCGCATCCGGCCGTCATTTTCTCTCGCCGCCCCGAAGTGCTCCGACCAGCTCAAGGCCTGACTGGGGCAGTCGCATTCGACAAGGATTCCGCTTCGCAGGCGATGTTTCCGGCGATTCCCAGGTGTGTTGGGTTACGGTTACGTCATCAGTCCGTGCCGCAAAAAACGATTCCACTGTAGTTGCGGCAGGCATCGCTCGTGTTGCACCTTCCGGGTATAGCAACTTTTGGACATTCGCGTTTACTTTCCCTCCTTTTCGATCCCGCCTCGTCTGATCATCAGGCCGCCGATGCTGCTGGATCAGGCAAGCTGATTGGCTCCGCTGCTGCTTTCTACGCCAATGTTGCTCGCGAACGTCTGCTAGAAGCAGCTGACGCGGCTGTGCCCGCGGGTTCGAATCCCAGCGCTGGCAATAATTCAACAGCCGAAATTTGCCCTGGCGTTGGCGAAATCAACGAGTTCCTGCGACGGGGGCGACGCTGCATTGACTCTGTCGCGCCGTCGCTGGCTGATGCGGGGGAAGGCAAGGCGGAGGGCGGTTCCTCCGTGCCTGCGCCGGAGCTGGACTTGAGGTTCGGGAGCGCGGCTGAGGAGCCGGTTCGGTGGCTGTTCAAAGTGGTGATTGGCAGCGAGCATGCGGGTGAGATGGGTTGGAAGGGAAGGATGAGATGAAGGGAAAGGAACGATAGAGGGGGTTGGGGGGATGAGGAGTCTGAGGAGGACACATAAGGCGGTATCGTGTCAGCCATCGTGTATGCATTCTTCTTTTGAGAATTCTCAAAGGTGACTCCCAAATTTGAGAATTCTCAAAAGTGACTCCCAGATTTGAGAATTCTCAAAAGTGGGATTGTGTCAGCCATCGTGTACACATTCTTCCTCGGTCACTCTGTGCCAGCCAGTGCACTGCTTTCCTACCTACCCCCTATCCTCCAACCCATTTCCGTCCCTGTGCCCCCCATCCCTTCCTCCCTTCCACCAGATCTGGGCGATTGTGTCAGCCATTGTCTACTCCTTCCTCGACCACTCTGCCCCCCATTAGCCAGGAGTGCTTAATGCACTCCTTCCCCACACCCTATCATCCAACCCATTCCTTCTCTGTGCCCTCCTCTCCTCACCCCCCCACACACATTCACCAGATCTGGACGTGATGGTCTTGGCCATCGTCTACTCCCTCTTCCTGAATCACTCAGAGCCGCCCAGCGCACTCCTTCCCCACACACTATCCTCCAGTCCATTCATTCCCACCCACCCAACCCCCCACCCAACCCCCCACCCAACCCCCCCTTTCCACCAGATCTGTACGCGATCGTCTCAGCCATCGTCTACTCCTTCTTCCTGGACCATTCAGAGCCTGCCAGTCCTCCTCTCCCCACCTTCTCCCCTTCCCCCCCTTCCCCCCCTTCCACCAGACTTGGATGCAATCGTCTCGGCCATCGTCTACTCCTTCTTCCTGGATCACTCAGAGCCGCCCAGCGCGCGGGCGGCGGGGCTTTGTCTGCTTCCTCTAGTGCACACGAGCCGGGCGGACTTCCATCTTCGCACCGACGCGGCATGGCTGCTGCAAGCGATGGGCGTGGACACACAGGCACTTCTCTTCTTAGATGAGGTGAGATTGTTACAGGGTTACCATGGGATGGCTTGTTTCATCCGGTGCACACGAGCCGGGCGGACGTCCACCTTCGCACCGACGCGGCGTGGCTGCTGCAGGCCACGGGGGTGGACACACAGGCGAGTTGACTTTTGAGTCGGCTCAAAAGTCAACACGGGGGTGGACACACAGGCGCTTATGTTCCTGGATGAGGTGAAATTGTCTGTTACCAGGTTACCGTCTATGAGGTCATGATGAGGTAAGGTGGCTTGTTTCCATTGGTGCGCACGAGCCGGGCGGACTTCCATCTTCGCACCGACGCGGCATGGCTGCTGCAAGCGATGGGCGTGGACACACAGGCTCTCTTGTTCCTTGATGAGGTGAGCGGCTTGATGGTTACCAGGTTACCATCGGGTATCAACAGAGGGCAGGTCGCTGGTGCACACGAGCCGGGTGGACTTCCACCTCCGCACCGACGCTGCGTGGCTGCTGCAAGCGATGGGCATGGTGGACACACACGCTCTCTTGTTTCTTGATGAGGTGAGGGGGGTCTGGATACCAGTTGACTTTTGAGTCGACTCAAAGGTGAGGGGGGTCTGGATACCAGTTGACTTTTGAGTCGACTCAAAGGTGAGGGGGGTCTGGATACCAGTTGACTTTTGAGTCGACTCAAAGGTGAGGGGGGTCTGGATACCAGTTGACTTTTGAGTCGACTCAAAGGTGAGGGGGGTCTGGATACCAGTTGACTTTTGAGTCGACTCAAAGGTGAGGGGGGTCTGGATACCAGGTTACTGGGTCACCAGCACAGCACGTATCCACCTTCGCACCAACGCTGCGTGGCCGCTGCATGCCATGGGGTTGGACACGCAGACGCTCATGTTCCTGGACGAGGTGAGAGGGAAGATTTGGTTACCAGGTTACGACTGAATGTTCCCCTTCGCCCTGACGCAGCGTGGCTGCTGCAGGCAATGGGGGTGGACACACAGGCACTTCTCCTCTTGGACGAGGTGAGATGTTCTTTCTTGCCAACAGGTTACTGGGTTACCAGCACGTATCCACCTCCGCACCGACGCGGCATGGTTGCTGCAGGCCATGGGGGTGGACACACAGGCGCTTTTGATTCTTGATGAGGTGAGACGTTCTTATTTCTACAAGCTTTTGTTACCGGGTTACCATGCACCAGGCACCCACCATCAGGCGGCTCGTTTGCTGCACGGAGAGGGGCGGCTGCAAGCCTTTCTAACTGTGCCTCCTTCCCACCCTTCCCACCCTTCCCACCCTGCCTCACCCCGACCTTCCCGCCCTTCCAACAGGTTGATTTGCGCAAGCTGCATGGGGAGGGGCGGCTGCAGGTGGTGCTGTACGGCCACAACAAGATGCCCGCTACTATTGAGGTACTAACCCATTTTACTAGTACATACTCGTTATAAGCAATAGTACTTATTCGTTACAGTCACACAAGTAGAAGCGGCTGCAGGTGGTGCTGTACAGCCACATTAAGATGCCTGCTACTATGGAGGTTCCATTCTAGTACATACGCGTTATAAGCACTAGTACACAGTACATACTCGTTATCAGACAGTAGCACCCTACTCACTCGTTACAGTCACCCTTGTTAGACAGGATGCATGCTTCGTTACGCGTTGTAAGCACTAGTACATACTCGTTAATAAGTATTACGGTCACACAGATAGGGGCGGCAGCTAATGGTGCTGTACAGCCACAACAAGTTTTTCCGTGCTGCTCCTCCTCCTCCTCCTCCTCCTCCTCCTCCTCCTCCTCCTCCTCCTCGTTCTCCTCCTCCTCCTCCGCCTCCTCCTCCTCCTCCTCCTCCTCCTCCTCCTCCTCCTCCTCCTCCTCCTCCTCCTCCTCCTCCTCCTCCTCCTCCTCTCCTTCTCCTCCTCCTCCTCCTGCTCCCACCCGTGCGTGTGTTTAGGTGCCCCCTCACTGCCCCCTCACTGCCCCCTCACTGCCCCCTCACTGCCCCCTCACTGCCCCCTCACTGCCCCCTCACTGCCCCCTCACTGCCCCCTCACTGCCCCCTCACTGCCCCCTCACTGCCCCCTCACTGCCCCCTCACTGCCCCCTCACTGCCCCCTCACTGCCCCCTCACTGCCCCCTCACTGCCCCCTCACTGCCCCCTCACTGCCCCCTCACTGCCCCCTCACTGCCCCCTCACTGCCCCCTCACTGCCCCCTCACTGCCCCCTCACTGCCCCCTCACTGCCCCCTCACTGCCCCTCACTGCCCCCTCACTGCCCCCTCACTGCCCCCTCACTGCCCCCTCACTGCCCCCTCACTGCCCCCTCACTGCCCCCTCACTGCCCCCTCACTGCCCCCTCACTGCCCCTCACTGCCCCCTCACTGCCCCCTCACTGCCCCCTCACTGCCCCCTCACTGCCCCTCACTGCCCCCTCACTGCCCCTCACTGCCCCCTCACTGCCCCCTCACTGCCCCCTCACTGCCCCCTCACTGCCCCCTCACTGCCCCCTCACTGCCCCCTCACTGCCCCTCACTGCCCCCTCACTGCCCCCTCACTGCCCCCTCACTGCCCCCTCACTGCCCCCTCACTGCCCCCTCACTGCCCCCTCACTGCCCCCTCACTGCCCCCTCACTGCCCCCTCACTGCCCCTCACTGCCCCCTCACTGCCCCCTCACTGCCCCCTCACTGCCCCCATCACTGCCCCCTCACTGCCCCCTCACTGCCCCCTCACTGCCCCCTCACTGCCCCCTCACTGCCCCTCACTGCCCCCTCACTGCCCCCTCACTGCCCCCTCACTGCCCCCTCACTGCCCCCTCACTGCCCCCTCACTGCCCCCTCACTGCCCCCTCACTGCCCCCTCACTGCCCCCTCACTGCCCCCTCACTGCCCCCTCACTGCCCCCTCACTGCCCCCTCACTGCCCCCTCACTGCCCCCTCACTGCCCCCTCACTGCCCCCTCACTGCCCCCTCACTGCCCCCTCACTGCCCCCTCACTGCCCCCTCACTGCCCCCTCACTGCCCCCTCACTGCCCCCTCACTTCCCCCTCACTGCCCCTCTCCTGTCTCCCCTCACCCTCTCTCACCTCGCCCTGTCTCCGCTCACCCTCTCTCACCTCGCCCTGTCTCCGCTCACCCTCTCTCACCTCGCCCTGTCTCCGCTCACCCTCGTCATCTCTCTGCACCTGTCTAAATGCCTTCACGTTTCTGCACAACCCCTTTGCACCGCTCTTCACCAACCCCTGTGCCAGCAGGGCATGGAGAAGGCTGTGGCAGAAATCATTCCTCGGGAAACAGTGAGTTTCAGAAGGATATATTGGAGTGACTTTTGAGAATTCTCAAAAGTTTCAGAAGGATAGCTGACGCACAGGAGTGTTCATGGATTCTGAGTTCTCATTCTTTTGGTTTGATCGGGTGGGCTGCCTCGGATCTGTGCAGGAGCGGGGTTGGGGAACTGGTGGGGCTTTTTTCCTTCTTCATTCTCTCGGGGTGGGGAATTTCACAAAATGCATTCCTCTTCCTGTCAAGAAGCAATAGTCATGTTGGTATGCCTCTTCCCGGGTTGAGGGTGGGGAACAGGAAACAGTTATCTCACATCCCATCTTCTTTTGAGTCGACTCACAAGTCACCATGAGTTATCCCTTTCCCTGTCAAGAATTAATAGTCATGTGTCAGTACGCCTCTTCCCGGGTTGAGGGTGGGGAACAGGGAACAGTTATCTCACATCCCATCTTCCCGCGAACAACAGAAGAGGCAAGTCACCTCTTTTGTTTAGGACATCTTTTGCGTCTTTGGGGAACACTGCTTTGTATATTTTTTCACTATTTCCTCCTCATGTCTCGCCGGCCACATTAACAGCGGCCATGGTTTCAATCTCCGGAACCCCTTTCTCTTATCATGTATCTATCCTCTCTCCCATCTTCTCTTTCGTTCTCTCTCTCCTCTGCTTGCTCCAGGGCAGCAGCTGTGCCACCATGCTGGCTCGCAGGCTCTCAGAGGAGGCCCCTCACCTCCTCCTCAACATCGCTCTTGCACGCCTGCTGGTGAGTCTAAGGTGTAGAGGAAAGGACGCTGGCACCCTGGCCGACTGGTTGCTGTTTTCCATCCCCGCTCTCAGCTCACAGCCATTCGCATGCACCAACAAATTGCCTCTCGGGCAGAGCAGCGGGGTGGATGTTTTTGAGTCGACTCAAAAACAAATTGCCTCACCGCCCGGGCAGAGCAGGGAGGTGGATGGCAGCAACACGGTGGCTTTTGAGTCAACTCAAAAATCGACTCATAACACGGTGGCTTTTGAGTCGACTCAAAAATCGACTCATAACACGGTGGCTTTTGAGTCGACTCAAAAATCGACTCATAACACGGTGGCTTTTGAGTCGACTCAAAAATCGACTCATAACACGGTGGCTTTTAAGTCGACTCAAAAATCGACTCATAACACGGTGGATTTGAGTCGACTCAACAATCGACTCATAACACGGTGGCTTTTGAGTCAACTCAAAAATCGACTCATAACACGGTGGCTTTTAAGTCGACTCAAAAATCGACTCATAACACGGTGGATTTGAGTCGACTCAACAATCGACTCATAACACGGTGGCTTTTGAGTCGACTCAAAAATCGACTCATAACACGGTGGCTTTTGAGTCGACTCAAAAATCGACTCATAACACGGTGGCTTTTGAGTCGACTCAAAAATCGACTCATAACACGGTGGCTTTTGAGTCGACTCAAAAATCGACTCATAACACGGTGGCTTTTGAGTCGACTCAAAAATCGACTCATAACACGGTGGATTTGAGTCGACTCAACAATCGACTCATAACACGGTGGCTTTTGAGTCGACTCAAAAATCGACTCATAACACGGTGGTTTTTGGGTCGACTCGAAATTCACCCGGTTGGCACGAGGATGTGGGTTCGAACCACAGCAAGCGGAGTGGTCTCCTCAAAGTTCTTAACTAACAGCTAGGAGTATTTAGAGTGGGAAAACAAGTAGAATCGGGACTTCGTAAGTCCAACTTCAGTAAAGAACGTAGGCGTACGCGTTTCGGCCGTGAGGCCTTCGTCAACACGGTGGCTTTTGAGTCGACTCAAAATTCACCCAGGTGGCAGCATGGATTGCTGATGTGCCTATGGGCACACACACTGCTTCCACTCCACCTCCTCCCGTCCCCATCCCTGCTGCTCTCAGCTCACAGCTACACACATGCACCAACACATTCCCATCCACCTATAACCTGGATCCAGGGCAGAGCAGCGAGGTGGATGGCAGCACGCGAGCATGGATTGCACTCATATTCCTTGACCTCCCCTATTTCACCCTCAGCTCGCAGCCATTCTCACGTGCACCAGCAACCTGGATCCAGGGCAGAGCAGCGAGGGGGATGGCAGCATGGCAGCATGGATTGCGCTCATATCCCTTGTTGCGTCTAACTCCCCTGTTTCACCCTCCCTTACCCACACCCACTCGCAGCTCGCAGCCATTCTCACGTGCACCAGCAACTTGGATCCAGGGCAGAGCAGCGAGGGGGATGGCAGCACGCGAGCTTGGATTGCACTCATATTCCTTGACTTGTCTAACTCCCCTATTTCCATCCCCACGCTCAGCTCGCAGCCATTCTCACGTGCACCAGCAATCTCGATCCTGGGCAGAGCAGCGAGGTGGATGGCAGCATGGCAGCATGGCTTGCATTCGTACCCCTCAAATAACCACCCAACCACCCTCCTTCACATCCACCCTTCACATCCACTCGCAGCTCGCAGCCATTCTCACGTGCACCAACAACTTGGATCCAGGGCAGAGCAGCGAGGTGGATGCCAGCATGGCGGCGTTCCTGGCCGTTGGATCGAGGTGCCTCGGGCGAAACGTTTTCTACGAGATTTGTGAGTGGGGGTGCGCTTGGTCTGGTGCAGAGTGCGTGCATGTGCTTGTTGAAAGATGTGTGTGTAGTGGGGAACAGCACATGGCAGGGTATGTTGACGGGGAATTACAACGCATGCATTTGATAAGGGCAGTTTAGGAATAAACTAAATCTGCCCTTGGGGGAACAAGTGGAAGCATGTGAGTATAATACTCCCTACCCATTTTGACCCTCTTCTGTAGAGCCAGCGCCAGGGCTAATTTTTGGTTTCCAGCAACCCTTGTGATCAGTGTTGCACAAGTCCAAAAACCTGATTATCAGTGTGACACCTTGTTCAAACCCTGATCCACCAGGGTTTTCCTAGTTTTTGAAAATTATACCCTGTAGGATCAGTGTACCAGTTTTGCAAACCCTGGTGTATTGATATTATCGCTGGCAGGCAATAACGAAAATGTATTTCTGGCCAATGGAGGCCCCCCTCGTGCCAGCTCAGAGATGTTGCCTTTGCCAAATTTCAGTTTCGACAGTTGGCATGCGAGAACCTCGATATGGGAAAGGGGGGGTGGGTAGAGAGGGGGCGGGGGGTGGGGCGGCTCGGGGAGGGTATGTACTCGATTCAGGGTAAAACTCGTTACGAAGATCGGTAACCCTGGGCCGTCAGTGTACCTCAAACGTAAACCCTGGCCTATCAGGAAAATACAAGCTCCCGAAAAAATTACCCTAAGGCATCAGTGTGACAGCCAAAAACCACCCTGATTATCAGGGTATCAGGGTGATTTACCCTGATAAAATTAGCCCTGGCCAGCGCTGGGTTGTTTGGCCAAAACTTCTACATCTCAAAAGCGCCACGATGGAAAGAGCAGGTGGGGGGGTGGTAAACCTGACATGTTCGAAGTTGAAGGGTGTCAGCACCTCTCCGCCCTTCTTGCGTTTGAATTTCTTTTGGCGTTGCTCACTACGGAAGAGCTCTCTGAAAGAAGAGTGATTTTGAGACGTCTCAAAAACAACCCGGCATTGCTCACTACGGAAGCGCTCCCTATGATTCAACTTGTGAATGACGTCAGAGCTCTTCCCCTCAAGACGTCAGAGCTCTTCCCCTCAAGACGTCAGAGCTCTTCCCCTCAAGACGTCAGAGCTCTTCCCCTCAAGACGTCAGAGCTCTTCCCCTCAAGACGTCAGAGCTCAAGCCTCAAGACGTCAGAGCTCAAGCCTCAAGACGTCAGAGCTCAAGCCTCAAGACGTCAGAGCTCAAGCCTCAAGACGTCAGAGCTCAAGCCTCAAGACGTCAGAGCTCAAGCCTCAAGACGTCAGAGCTCAAGCCTCAAGACGTCAGAGCTCAAGCCTCAAGACGTCAGAGCTCAAGCCTATACATTTTCCTTTCTACATTTGCCCCTCTCTTCCCCTCCCCCTCAGTGCGCGACAAGAAGTACAACCAGGCGTCGCTCACTACTGAGGAACTCCTTAGGGCGGATATAGTGCAGCATGCCATGGGACCCGGTGAGCAATTGGATGGGGCTGTGTTGTGGGTGCATGGCATTGCACAGCTGATGCTGTAGCAGCGTCCGGGTATGATGAGTCATTTTCTGAGTCAACTGGCGCAAGTTTGTTTCTCGTGCGTGTCTGGGTGTGTGCGGCAAGAAGGGCGGATAGGTGCAGAGCGGTGCGATATCGAATGATGTGGCAATCTGCTGCAGGATGAGAGTATTTTGAGACGTCTCAAAACACTTCTTCAATCACGTGGCTATTCTCATGTGGCACGCTGCTGCAGGATGAGAGTAGATGAGAGTAGATGAGAGTAGATGAGAGTAGATGAGAGTATCCGGTCACACACGCATACACTTGCCTTGCTCGCATTCTCCCTTGTTTCACTGTCCGTATCTGTATGCATGCGCAGCTGTATGCAACAAAAGGGGCGCTGAGGTGCTGAACTGAACGTGGCGATAGCGAATGAAATGGCACGAGGTGACCTGGCGATGCAGGGAATTCCCAGCTGGTGAACAAGGAGGCAGAGAAAGAAATTTTTGAAATGGCAGAGAAATTCCCTGTAATGGCACGAGGTGACCTGGTGCTATGATTCTCCGTTTTCGATTCTCTCGCTGCGCAGGTGTGCGCGGCAAGAGGGGTGGCGAGGTGCTGAATGTGGCGATATCAAATGTGGGAAGCTCGACATCGCAGCTGGTCAACAAGGACGCCAAATTTGAGGAGATTCTCAAGCAGTTCCTCTGTGAGTCCTGTTATGTAAAAGCTGCTAGGGGCATGCGGCTAGAGTAACCCACACCCCCCATGCACGTCTCTGTCAGCTGGTGAACAAGGACGCCAAGTTCGAGGAGATTCTGAAGCAGTTCCTCTGTGAGTTGAGGGTGTGGGGGGGAGGGCAGTGGTGTTGGTCCATTGTGGCGGTATTGGGAATGTGGGAAGCTGTGCGTCCCAGCTGGTGAACAAGGACGCCAAGTTCGAGGAGATTCTGAAGCAGTTTCTGTGTGAGTCATGGGGGAGGGCAGTGGTGTTGGTCCATTGTGGGGGAGGGCAGTGGTGTTGGTCAGCTGTGGTGATGCTGGGAATGCGGACTGCTTGCCTCGCAGCTGGAGAACAAGGACGCCAAATTTGAGGAGATTCTGAAACAGTTTCTCTGTGATTTATGCGTCTGCTACTCATCCTCTCCACATTCCACTCCCTTTTTCAATGCAATCACTCTGCATTACAACCCTACCTCTGCTTCCCTCACACCTACCCTCCACTTTCGCCCTCTATCTGGGTGTAATGAGTCGTGTTTTGAGTCCACTCAAAACACGAACCTTCTCTGCTTCCCCCACACCTACCCTCCACTTTCGCCCTCTATCTGCTGTGCATCCAACCCACTTAACGTGTGCATCCAACCCATCTACACCATTTTCTCCCATACCGCTAATTTTCCGTCTGCTACGGTACTCTCTCATTCTCCCGCACGCCTACAGCCACTAGCTCACTGCACCTCCTGGTCATCCTCTCTACTAGGAGGTGCAGTGAGCTCACCTCCATGACTCACTAATCCTTTTCCCGTTCACCATTCACCATTCACCCACTCACCTCTGTCTCCTCTTCTCCTCCACACCCACCTACAGCCGATCGCTCGCTGCACCTTCTGGTCATCCTCTCTACATATTACCCCCTTTCTTATTCACCACTCACACATTCACGTCACTCTCCCTCTTTCCCCCACACTCATGCCCTCCCATCAGCCACTCGCTCGCTGCACCTGCTGGTCATCCTCTCTACATACTACTCCGAAACCAGCAAACGCTTCAAGGTACACTACATTTTCTGCATTGCCTATGTTATCTCTGTTTCCCTCAAAGGCACCCTTGCTGATCCCCCAGCAGTCTTAACGCCTTCCCTGATCCCCTCTCTGTTCGCGCTGTTGCTGCCCTTGCTGCTGCTCCTCTTGCTGCTGCCCTCCCTGCTGCTGCCCCCACTGCTGCTGCTCGCCCCAATGCCCATCAATCTCAGAGGGAGCTGGTGCTGGCGACTCCTCTCTCCTCCCTCTCCTCGGGCCTCTCCTTCTTCCTCCAGAAGGAATCGCACGACCTGCGCCTGCGACCAGTCACCATTCGAGGTGCGTACAGCCTTTACAGTCACAGTAACCAGTCATTCACGGAGCGCCTCTCCTGTTCTGGCATGGGTAAAGTACTTGGGTTGTAGCCTCTCTCCTCGCTCTCCTCTCTCCTCGCTCTCCTCTCTCCTCCCTCTCCTCTCTCCTCCCTCTCCTCGGGCCTCTCCTTCCTCCAGAAGGAATCGCACGACCTGCGCCTGCGACCACTCACCATTCGAGGTGAGTGGGAGCCCTCTATGAAGATATGTAAGTTGCACTTACCGTGACCAGTCAAGGTATGTATGACCTGTACGGGCATAGGTTAAGGTACTCCTGTTGGTGCCCCTCCCCTCGGGCCCCTCACCTCTCCTCATACCTCTCCTGCCTGCAAAGGGAGTCATTGTTTTGGCCAGTCGAGGTATGTATAACAACAGTGACCAGTCACCGTTCCAGGTGACTCCCGCATTACGGGAGTCGCATAATCTACGCCTGCGACCACTCACCATTCGAGGTGTGTATGGGAGAGCCCTGTATGAAGGCATGCCAGTTGCACTTAGAGTGACCAGTCAAGGCATGTATAACAAACAGTGACCAGGCATTACGGGAGTCGCGTAATCTACGCCTGCGACCAGTCACCATTCGAGGTGTATATGGCCTTGACACACACAATTCAAGGTGTGGCTTTGGAGTTACAATCATGGTTTGACCCAATGTTTGAAATATGCGCTATACAGTCACATCCGCGGTTTTAAGTACCACTCTTTAAAGTCACATCACTGTCCGAGGTGTTTCCGCCCCAATATGGCCACACTTCCCCATCTGGCATCTCCTTTCAGGCTGTGATGTGCAATCTCTTTTTGAAAAGCACGTTACAATAGGCCATTCCCGAACAATCCTACTTACTGCCTTATTGTTGGTCTCAGAGATGTGGGGATTCATCCCAAATTAACACTTGAAAGCCTCGACATAACACATTTGGCCTGCCAATTCTCTAAACTCTGGAACCTAAAATCAGTTGTTCAACCCTTCCCCTTGGCCCTTTTTCCCCACAGGTATGCCCAATTGGCTCAAGGCATTCACGCTTGGTAACCCGGTATCCACACGCACTGATGTGGAGCACCTCCTTGTTGAGTATTTTGAGGACGGAAGGTGAATGCCAAGGTAAACGGTGGAAATGTGAAGACGGTGATCCTATGGAGATAAGTCTTAGTAAGAAGCAGGGTTACGGGAAAGTATTTGTTGGTGATGATACCTTACGTTTATTGATTTTGTAATGGCATATCGTGGTATCGCATGATTAAACTGGTTGCAGTCTTTCCATTCACATGCTGGACTGGCTGTGGGATTTTATGGTATGTTCCGAACACGAAACAAACGAATTCTGTTTGCAGCGGGGATTTAGCTCATGAAAAGTTTGTAGATTTCCCTGATGCGTCGCGAGCCGCTCGGTCACCATCAGTCAGCCGGCGTTTTTGCAGGAGCAATGGCCAATCAGAATTGTTCTTTGGGGCAGTCGTCGGTCTGTGCGGCCTGAGTTGCGTCAGGCGTTTCTGCACCAGATTCAGTAAGGGGACCACGGTGCGCCGCTTTTGCGCTCAAAGCCTCAACATCGTCAGTCCACAGCAAAACTCGCCCCATTTTGCAGGCAAAACGAGTTGAGATTTGCAGCAAATACCGCGCCGCGGGCCTTGTCCCAATGTGCGACTCGGTTGCTGACGCGCAAACATCCCGCGGAGACCTCTGCCGCCGCCAAATCTCTGCAGCACTGTTCCCGCCTGTACTCTGATGGCCCTCTGCAAGTTTACCGCGCAAAGCCAGTCATCCGCCCCCCCCCCCCCAACCCCCCAATCACGACAGTCATCCCTCCCAACCATCCCTTTCCTGCAAGACCCTCAAACCCACAAACCGGACCCAAACGTTCCCAAACATTCTCTCCTCCCGCGCTGCTCGTCCCCCACGAGCCCAACAAGCTGCTTCCGCGCAGCCACCGCATCGCCGCACACCCTACCGAACGGGGACTTCGCTTTTCCGGTCCATGCTTACAGGCGTAGGTTGAAGCAGAGCCTTGTGAAGGTTGAGCAAAGCACCTAGGTCTTCCCTTAGGCCCACCCACCAACTGGACATGGAGAGAATGGGCTATCTATGAAAACCAAAGCAGAATCTTACATCACTTCCCTCCGTTGCTCCCAGCCTGCTGTTCTCAGTAAGCCGACCCTGTTACAGTGCTGCCTTTCCGACGCACCTGATTTTACACGATTACCGCAACTACCGCCTGTCAGTTACGTGTACCTTGATAGAATACTTCCTAAGCTGTCCAGGCTTGTGAGGGTTGCCCAGTTCCTGCAACCGTCCGAGTATCAATAATTCATAGAAGCTCGTTCAGTGGAGCCGCAGCTATCCCTGCAACCAGCCTCGGTTACATTTGTTTTTTCTCTTCAGTGGATTGGAGAAATAGAAAAACTCCAGGCACAGACCACTCAACTCCTTGTTGACGAGATCCATACGTCGACTCTTGATACGCTGTTACAAAGAAACCCTTAGAGCGCTTGCTGTCAGAATGGCGATTTCGAGAGGGTTTCAAATATTTTTAGTACTCCTTACGGCTGCAACCGTTGTTTCTGGTAAGGCTGGCTGGAATTATCCGCCTCGCAGTAGTTTTAGCCGTTCCGCTGCTTTAACAGGATGACTCTTTAGGGTCTGATGGTGCCTAATATTCCCTTCTGCCTTCTTGAGATTTTTGAATTGAAGGCTATATGTATTTTCTATTGTTCAACTGTTATAACCGCGGAATGTCTGCCACGTTTCAGGAGCGAAGAAGCTAAAAGACGGCAGTCGCTGTTTGCTTTCGCCAACGCTAAAGCCCATCGTTGAGTGCGAAGGCGGTCCAGCCACGTGAGTCGCTAATGCCCTCCTTTATTCTTACTGTAGCCTCGTCAAGTTGCAACGAGGTAGCTTCTGAGCCGATTCAAAACTTCCCTTCTATGGTGGTGGCATGAACCAAATTCCCTTCTATGCGCCTCAAGAATCACAAATGGCCGCTTGTTCTAGCATGCACCGAAAGGTTACAGCCGCCTTCTGTTGCCGCCGCTTTCGTCTCCGTTAAACCCAGTTTTGTATGCAGTGGACTGTTTGCACCCTTTCATCCGCGTTTCGCGTGCGAACCTGCTAGGAAGCATTCAAACCTGCTAGTTGAGATCTACACGCAAACTATGCTAAAACATCACAGTCCCGCCTCGACCTATACAATCACATAGTAGACTGGTTACAGTTATTAATTCGTTACAAAAGCGATCCGTCTTGTTTCTTAGCAGCGTCGAATGACTTTGGCATTGCGCATAGTCAGTTAGCCTGACTCGAGGGTGTTTGAATCAGTTTCCGTTCAGCCAGGCTGACTTCGTTTCGCTTCCGATACTCCACATGCCACGTCTTCATGTGCGCATCTTCATCCCAAATAATATACAGGTGCCTTCTTATCCGATTCGTTATGCAAAGTTTGTTCGCACATTCCATTTGCTTATGCGTTCGCCTTTTCAGGTGTCTTGTATCGCGGACGCCGAAGCCTGGAAATCCGTACGGTCGCTACAAAGGAGTCTGCAACAGCACTTACGAAAGTAAGAAGAAGAGCGGGGGGGATGAGAAGGGGTAGAGGGAAGAGGACACTAAATAGAAATTCGAGGTACCACATGCTATCGCATGATACCGCATGATACCACGTGACATACTCACTCTACCGGTTTATATCTTATCCCAACTCCGATAGCGGCACTGTGCTGCGCATTCGTGCCGCACAGCCCTGTGATGTGGGCACGAATCGCATCCCGACCCGTCATCTCGATCCTCACCTTGGCTTGCTCCCTTACCGTTGCCCCCTCCCCCTCCCCGCCTCCCTCTCCCCACCCGCAGAGGGTCTCTATTGCGCCTTCATGTCGCAGCCGTATGCGGTGGGAACGCGCGGCATCCTCGGCAGCAGCAGCTGCGAGCGGTGCAACTGCAAGGCGGTGCCGGTGGTGATCCCGGGGGGGAAGGAGATTGTGCGGATGGAGGCGCAGTGCGTGTGCCCCGAGGTGCAGTGTCGGACCAACTACCGCGGCGCCAGCATTCGCCGATTCGCGTGCCCGCCACTACAGCAAACGTACGAATTTGTGATGAGTTTTTTTTACTGTCACTGGGAGTTTGTTTGGAAGTTCGTTTCTAGTTTTTTTGGTAAGTTGTTCTACGTATATATTTTCAAATACATATACGTGTATACATGTAGAACAGCTCCAATGTAGTGTAGTGTTGGTGGTTATCGCGGGGAGCAAGGAGCTGGTGGGGATGGAGGCGCAATGCGTGTGCCCCGAGGTGCAGTGTCGCACCAACTACCGCGGAGCCAGCATTCCCGATTCGCATTTCCTATCAAGTTACTCATTTCCAATCCCACCCTGATTGCTCAGCCCTACCCTCTGCCTATGTGTGCAGGTGTTTGATCAATTGGGTCAGTTAGGAGTACAGCAAAAGATACAGGACAGTGAATTTTCCGAAGTCATTAGAAAACGTCCTAACAAAAAAATTACTCAATCCCACCCTCTGTTCTCGTGCGTGCAGGTGTCTGATCAATCGGGTGGGGCGGGGCGGCGTGGATAGCGAGGGGTACAGAATCGACGTCGGCACGTGCATAGCGCCGCAAGACGGTGAGTGCTTCAAACTGCAGTGCTGGGGATACTAGGTTTGTTCTAATTGTAAGAATTTGCTATTATGTAAGCCTACCCCAACCCTCCTTAATCTGAAGGATTACAGTGTTCTCTTTGAGGAAACAAGTCCATCTTAGTAGGTATTCCCCATCCACTTTATCCACTCTTCAGAGCCACACCCTTCAGAGCCACCATCTGCAGCAGTGCATGGCCCACATGGGGTCATGAAGTCTAAACACATGCCCCCCCCACCATCCACTCTTCTCTTGCGCCTTATTCTCACCGTTTTCTATGCGTTCCCTCTGCCTTTTCTGTGCTTTCCCTCTACAGCTTTCAGAGCCACCAACTGCAGCAGTGCGGGTCCCACATGGGGTATGAAGTGGTATGCCCTTGGCACCACCAATATTCCTAAGCCTGGAGATTGGTGCACGCGGTGCAAGTGCGGGCATAAGGGGCTCACACGGTGTCGCAAGGTGACCAATTGTACTCCGCCACCTGCCAAATCGGCCACTGGATGATGACGTGTCAGTGCTGCTGCTGGCTGCTTTGCTGTTTTGGGTTCTTGGTGAGGGTGATGGGAGGAAGTTTGGATTCCAGTGCCGGGCTGGGCTTTTTTGCTACAAAGGCGAGTAGATAGTTTCTTCATGCGAGGGTGTTTGGGGGGAGAGGGAAGAGTTGCTTGATGTCTGTCTCTTATGCTTCATTGCACTCGATGAAGCTGGAGAAAAGGATGGCAACATGTTCATGGACTCTAGTTTGTACCATATTGGTTAGTTGGGAAAACACTTGGGTCTGCCTATTCTGTCTGAATAAAAAACCTGAATCAGCAATTGAACACAGTGCAAGTCGTCCATCCGTAACGTGTCATGTAGTATTCTGGTTACTGCATTTGCGTGAACCGGTTTGTATGCTCGCGTACCACTTGCTACCGCTTTCGCGTCAGCTGACGGTGTCGTGACTTGTTTGACTGATCACACCCACCAAGCACCGCAATTGGGTTGGCGCGAGCGAGGGTGAGAGAAGCTTCCAAAACATCTATTATCGGAGAGAAAGTGAACTGGGCCCAATCTAAAGCGAAAAAAAAAATCCGCATTCACCGAAGCTTCCAATCGCATTATCGAGGGCAAAACAGTGCGGGTTGTAGGGTAAACGTCCCGGAAATCGAAGCGCAGGTGTTTAGCAGCAGCGACGCGAACACCTCCAAACATTGCTTCCGCGCCGTCTTCTGTCCTTATTCTCCCCCCCTTGGCGGAAAGGTTCCGCCCTAGTAAGACGTGCTGATATAACCAAGGATCCAGTGGATAGGATAGAATCTGTTGAGACTGGGAGGAGACAATGAAGTCTCTGTAGTGAGCTTGTTGAGTAATAATTGAAAGAGAACAAGATCATTGAAAGATAGGAGTACAAGAGATTAAATAGAAATCTAGCTAGCCATGTACTCTAAGGGGTACATTCCCTTATTAACTGTACTGCATAGCTACAGTAACCGTGACTATTGCTATCTGTCAAATGTTGTAGCCTGTAGTGAGGTTTGTCTTAGGGGGTACAGAAGTTAGGGTTTGTTATATGTACCCCAACCAACATCAATGGCATCATCATTCCTCATTTTAACATGGTATCAGCTAGGTTAGGATCCTGTGGGATCCCGTTCCTCCGTTCTCCGTTCGTCCCTCCCGAGCCTGATCCTACCTCTCGTTCGTACCGGTTCCGTTGTTACCGCGCCTAGTACCGAGCCTAGCGCCCTCTCCCCCGTCGCTTAGCGCACTTTCTCCCCGTCGCCTAGCGCCCTTTCCCCCCCCCCCGTCGCGTCGCGCCCTTTCCCCCCGTCGCCTAGCGCTCTTTCCCCCCGTCGCGTCGCGCCCGTTCCCCCCGTCACGTCGTGCCCGCCCTTTCCCCCTCGTCCCGTCGCCCTGTCCCGTCGCGTCGCCCTGCCCCGTCCCGTCGCCCTGCCCCGTCGCGTCGCCCTGCCCCGTCCCGTCACCCTGCCCCGTCGCGTCGCCCTGCCCCGTCGCCTCGCCCTGCCCCGTCCCGTCACCCTGCCCCATCGCGCCGCCCTGCCCCGTCGCGTCGCCCTGTCCCGTCCCTACGCCCTGGCCCGTCGCCCTACCCTACGCCCTGGCCCGTCGCCCTACCCTACGCCCTGGCCCGTCGCCCTACCCTACGCCCTGGCCCGTCGCCCTACCCTACGCCCTAGCCCGTCGCCCTACCCTACGCCCTGGCCCGTCGCCCTAGCCCGCTCTTCCGCCGCGACTGAGTCCCCTTCCCACCTGAACCCTAATTTGCCTCTTCTCCCCGGTTGTTACTCGCCTGTTCGTTCGCGTTAGTTCTCACTATGGCGACTCCGCGAGTTCTTCGTTTCGACGCTGACGGTAGACCACTTGACTTTTCCGTCTGGCTTCTTCGCGCTCGCCGTCTGTTAGAGAGTCAGGTCCAGGGGGGCGAGACCCTCTGGTCGCACGCTACTGGTGACCTCCCCGAGCCCCCCGAGCCTACAGCTTTAGGCTCTGCCCCTGACGACGCTGCTACGGCTCGCTTTGCCCGTCAGCGCGCTGACCGGACGGCTTGGACGTCGCGTGACGCTGCGGCCTGCATCGCACTCAGCAGCCTCCTCCCTGAGTCTGAGGAGGTCCACTTTACTCAGGTTCGCACCGCTGCTGCGTACCTCACTGCGATTAAGGCCCGCTACTCTACTCCCGCTACTGTCTCTCTTGGCCGTCTTTTCCTCCCGTTCCTGTTTCCTGATCTCGCCTCGTTTGAGCGCTCTGCTGACTTGATCGCTCACCTCCGCTCGCTCGACGCTAGTTACCGCGCTGCTTGCACTGAGGCACAGCTTGCACTGCTTCCTCCCCCCATGGCGATTACTGTCTATTTCATCGCCACTAGCCTCCCTGACCGCCTAGCCTCCGTTCGTGACGCGCTTCTGCTGAAGCACCCTAGTGAGCTGACTATCGAGGTCCTTGAGTCTGCACTCAAGGACGTCGAGAGCAACCTTCGCTCGGTAGCTGCCGCCTCTGGTACTGTGTCCCCCCCACTCTTCCACGGGTGCACAGTCCCGCAGTTACCCACCTTCACTGCCTCTCTCGCCACTGCCGCTACTGACGCGACTGCGGCTGCTGTTACGACTGCGTCGCGGTCCCGCGGCAAGGGGGGCAAGAAAGGTAGTTCTGGTGGAGGTGGAGGTGGAGGTAGCGGAGGTAGTGGGGGTGCTGTTGCGTCTGGCGGTGGTGGGAGTGCAGCGTCTGGAGAGACCCCTCGTGCAGCGGCTGGTGACTCCACTGCGCCTGCTGGTGGCGGCGACCCCCGAGCTCGTCAGTCGCCTCCTGTACTGCCGACCCCGCTAGGTGGAGCAGCGGCGTGGTACCAGGCTCAGCGTCAGCAGCACCTTCAGCAGCAGCAGCAGCAGCCCCTTTCCTCCCGCCAGCCTCAGCAGCAGCAGCGTCAGCAGCTGGCTCCGGGGTCGGGGCTGCGTCAGCCCTAGCGCGGTGCTTCTTACCCTCCCTGCACCTATCAGGTTTTGACAGGTCCTCGTCGGGGCCACCCTTGTGGCCGCTTTCACCCCCCTGGTCAGTGCTTTGCTCAGCTCACTGACACGGTCCGGTTGGCCTACGGGGTTGGCGGTCCTGCTCTTGACTGGCTTCCTCTGGTTCAGCGCTACGGCTCCGCTCTGTGGGGCATGTCTGCTGAGCAATTAGTTGATCTGATTGGTGCTCCTCATGCTATGTATGCTGTTGTTGACTCTAGTGTTTCTGACTCTGTTTACTCTGGTGTTGTTAGCTTAGGTGCTAGTCTTGCTCAGTTGCCTGTTGCTAGTGTAGGTTCTTGTGTAGACTCTAGACCAGCGACTACCTCAGAGGACGCTTCGCTGTCGTTCACGCTGGACTCTGGAGCCTCACACTGCTTCTTCCGGGACAGCACGACACTTACACCACTTCCTGCGCCTGTTTCTGTGGCTTTGGCTGATCCCACTACGGGACCAGTCACTGCACGTCACACTACCACTTTACCGTGTCCTGCTGCTCCCTCCGGGTCTCTCACTGGGTTTCACGTCCCCTCGTTCTCCCAGAACTTGGTGGGCGTGCGACCCCTCGTGAGTCAGCACGTGGGTGTGTGGTTTGAGCCTTCTGGAGAGACTGCGGCGTGTGTTGACGGAGACTCTTACCAGCCTCTTGCTACCTTTACTGCTGAGCCGGGCTCAGGTCTCTACACTCTTCGCACTGGCCCGCGTGCGCCGCAGCAGCAGCCGCAGCAGCAGCAGCAGCCGCAGCCGCAGCAGCAGCAGCAGCAGCAGCAGCTGCACCAGCGGTCGCACCAGCAGCCGCCCCTACTGCCACCTGCCCCCGGTTCCCCCCCCCCGTTCGGGTCCCCGCGTCTCACCAGGTTGCTTCGTCCCCCCAGGTGTCTGTGTCGTGTCAGGTTCCTACGTCTGCTCCAGTCGCTACGTCGTGCTCCTGCCGGTCGCTTGCCCACCCCACCGTTCTGTGGCACCACCGGATGGGGCACCCGTCCCTTCCTCGTCTGCGCGCTATGTCTAGTCAGCGTCTTGTCCTAGGCCTCCCACGTGTCTTGCCGTCGCTGCCGCATTCGCTTGCGCCGCCGTGTGGTCCCTGCGTCGAGGGTCGGCTGCGCGCCGCCCCTCACTCCTCCTCCCTTCGTCCGGCCACCGAGCCTTTTGAGACGCTTCACTTGGACGTCTGGGGCCCCGCCCCTCGTCTAGGCCCTGAGCGTGAGCGCTACTTTCTGGTGGTCGTTGACGACTTCTCCCGCTACACCACAGTGTTCCCTCTGGCGAAGAAGTCTGAGGTGACTTCTACGCTGATCAGGTGGTTGCTCACCACCGAGGACACTCGTGGTCGTCGTGTCAGCTGCCTCCACTCCGACCGTGGGGGTGAGTTTCGCTCCGGCATTCTCGCTGGATTCTATCGCGAGCAGGGCATTCGTCAGTCCTGGACGCTTCCAGAGTCCCCACAGCAGAATGGGGTTGCTGAGCGCCGCATAGGCCTGGTCATGGAGATCGCCCGCACCTCCCTGACTCACGCCTGTGCCCCCCATTTTCTGTGGCCCTACGCGGTCAGGTACGCCGCGCACCAGCTGAACCTCTGGCCACGTGTCTCTCGACCAGAGGTTTCACCGACCAGTCTTTGGACAGGGTCCCCTGGTGTTGCGTCGCGGTTTCATGTCTGGGGGTGCTTGGCTCTTGTCCGCGACACCTCCGCGGACAAGCTCTCGCCTCGTGCCGTCCCCTGTGTCTTCCTTGGTTTCCCTGAGGACTCCTCTGACTTCACCTTTTACCACCCTCCCTCTCACCGGTTCTTTGACTCCCGTGACGTCCGTTTTGAGGAGTCCACTCCGTACTACGTCAGGTACCCCAGTCGAGGTCTCCAGGTTCCTCCTCCCCCCCTCTTCCTGACTGCCGCTCCCCCTCCTGTTCCCCCGGTACAGCCTCCCCCCCCTGGTCCAGCCCCGTCGGGTGTGTCCCAGGCTACCCCTCCTCCTTCGGTAGCCTCTCCGGTACAGCCTC